AGGGTGCTGCATTTTGGATGTCCGAATAGGGAATCTCCGAAACTAAGAGGTTTAGCCAAAAACGAGTGATACATTCTGGGGCTCATTTTTTGAGGAAATAATATTGGTTAAAATCGAATCCCGCTATCGTCTTTTGTTTTCGACTTATAGGTAGACAAAAATTGGCATTTTGGCGAAATATAAAAAAATTCCAAATTATTATAATACATTTTTAGCAAAAAATTATCTTTGATTTTTGTTCGCAGTTGGCCATGAAAAAATGTTGCATCTTCAACTAAAAGGATTTAAACTATATTATTCAACCAGTGTCACTAAGTACTAAGTACTAAGTAATGAAAAAAATGAAAAAAAAATGCAAAATAAATCGTAAATCAACTTATTGGCGACTAATAATATTTCTTTGTTTTTAAACAAGCTAACATTACCATTGTAACTTCTAGTGATACATAGAGTGATGTAAAAAAAAAGCCGTTTTAATTCTTCAATAAAATATATTTTATATGACACAAAAATGACGATATGGCTATTCAAATTCCCAAATTCCGTCTATGTAGAAAGTTATCCTATACCTCCATTAGATCATCAAAAAAAAATTTTTTTTCTAATTGTGTTGTCTGTTGACGCATTTGTCTTTCCTATTTTTGTATTTTTTAAAAATATGTAATAATTTTGTTCTGAGGCGCTCGCATATTTGTTCAATACTTCTACAGTATCGTATTTTCTAAATTTTTATAATTTTATCTATTTTTTTCATCTATTTTACAGTTCACAAAACTCTTATTGATTATTATTTACACATTTGGAGTGGAATAGTTTTTCCATAGCCAACTATTATCAAACAAAATATGTATTTCATTTTCTAAGTATAATTATAAAAAAATATTCTGTTACAAATATATATTTTTTAGATCAGAAAAAATAAGCTTTTCAAAATTGCCATAGCCGTCTATGATTTCCATTAAAAGAAAATGAAAGTTTATTTTATTACGGCTAAACCAATAACTCAAAAAAATGTTAACTACATTATTAAATTTCTCGTAAAAAAGTGCCTCTATAATGTCTTCATTGCAAATCCGTATCTTCTATAATAATGAAGATATGATTTTTTTTCGATTTCGCCAAAATGTCAACTTTTGTCTGTAAGTCGAAAACAAAAGACGATAGCGTGACGCAGTTCTAACCAATATTATTTTCTCAATGAGCCCCAGAATGTATCACTCGCTTTTGGCTAAACATCTTAGTTTCAGAGATTCCCTATTCGGACATCCAAAATGCAGCACCCTGTACATAAGCACTCGGGGTAATGCCATATTTACCACCTCGCTTGTAATGTACTATTCTCAAATGTATAAAGTTAAATTGTTTCCCACCCTCTGCACAGCTGCGTCAATCCGAAAAAGTCAATTCTTTTTTTGGCGGAAGTGTCAAACCGATTTTCTTAAAAAAAAAAATCCGATTAGGTCCATTCCGATTTCGATAAAAAGGCGACCTCTTTGCTGAGCCGGAAGGGCATCCACACAGACGTGTGTTGTATAAGAGTGCGGTTTTACAGGTTGGCCCTTTGGCGGTCTCAACTGACAATGGTGTACATTGTGAAAAGTTGTGTCTTGGTCCGCGGCAGCTTTGGCGGCGGCACTTTACAAGCCCACCCTCTGAGCTAGTGAGATTTATGATGTGTTCGCTATTTGTTGCCTTGTCCTAACACTTATTGCAGTTGACATTCGTATATGGCTTGCGTAATTTTTTATAATTCGTTCGATATATTGTAACCCCTGCTGAGTCGAACTTTGAACGAGTCACGCCCCATCCGTGAAGGGGTTGAGTCATAATGTCAATGAATTTGTGTGCTTTTTCTGTTGTTTTAATAACCACATTTCTCCACCTGCCTTACGCTAAATAAGTGTTAAAATTTGATATTTATGGCAGGTGCCGCCTCCCTAGTTCAATTCAACGATCTCACACAAAAAGCGATTAAACTGACAGCCAAATGACAGGAAAGCGTCGAGTTATACTTTTTATAACATCTCACAAATCGCGGCGGCATTTTACAGCGAAATAAATCCGTTAAAGCCATAACCGACTCTTTGACAGTTTCCGATTTGATTGCATTCCTCATAATTAAAGCATCATTTTCCAATAACCTAACCTACACATATACCATCCATGAAAGCTCTATTTGCTCTGCATTTTTTTTTAACTTTGATTCCATTGCTTTGTCGGCATATTCGATTCGAATAATTATTTTAAAGTAGCTACATTCGAACGATTTTCACGCAAATCATTCATAAAATGATATTGTTGATTCGGTTCCGATACTATACACAAACGGCCTACTCGAGTTACACACCGAAAAAAAAAAAAGAGAAACACGTGTTCGATACCATCATGGTCAATGACTTGCCATATGGAAATTAAGCTCTCTTTCTCGTCTGATGGACGACAGAATTTTACACCTTCGATGTGATCGATCATCCTGCTAGCAGGAATCATAATTAACGAATGTATTGAGGATAAATTGAGCAAACATACGATTATTATAAGGATATTAATTATTGCACGAGATGGTTTATTTCTACGGAGTTGGATATTAAACATCATAAATCATTGCCATGATTAAATGCAAAAAATGCTCAACGAGAAATTAATTAACTGCAAACGGAGATTGGCTACCGACTGGCGTACAGGATTTTTTCAATTTCTTTCTTCCACTTTATTTAAAAATAATTTTATACAAATCTATATTCGTATAATCGTTTAAGCGTGGGTGCAAATAAGATACTTTTTTACCTTTCTTTACTTAGATATACAGAGTGAGGCATTTATAATAAAGACCCTAACCGATTTTCAGACGCAATCCAAAATACATTTTCACAGATAACTTGGTTTTTGTTGCGTTTGCAAAATTTAAATTATTAATTTTAAATCAAAGTGATTGCTGATATGTCACGCATTAAATTTGACAGTGTCATCAATAAACTTTTATTTGCCCTTGAAATCAAAATGTATTTAAACGGCAAAAAATTAACATGACTTTAGTACATGGAGAATGCCACAAAAATGCTGTGGTTAAATCTGTACCGTCAAGTAGAACGCCAAGTTATAAAAACTGTCAAAGCTATCACAGATATCTACCAGGTGAATAAAAAGTATGGAACCAAACGTTTTTTGCTTAAACTGTTTATTTTTTGAAAAAACTAATTGATGAGTGATAAAGTACTATAAAAATGTGATGATTTAACAAGAATAAAATTTTTCGAAATTTCCTTTTGTTTTTGAGTTCTACAAAAAAAATATTTTTTTAAATGGCAACCCACTATAAAATCATTTTTCTCATAAAAGCTATACTCTAAGGATTACAACTATCTGCTATATATTAAATTTTTATACAAAAAAATTTTTTCACATAGATTGCAATTTTGACAAAAAAAATCGCATAACTCAAAAACAAAACAAAATTTCGTTCTGAAAATACAATCACATTTTTTATATTACTTTAATTTATATTAATTATTATTTTCCAGAGGCAAATGATTAAAAATAAAACCGCTTGGTTGCCTACTTTATATTCAACCTGTAGTATGTCTATAACTTTGAAAAATTTCAGACATTACATCAAGTAACGCATAGTGGCATCTGAGAATGTATTTTGGGTTGCATCTGAAAACCGGTCAGGGTCTTTATTACATGTAACTCAGCCTGTATATATAGCAACCAAACATTTTTAATATTGAAGTTTTTATACTTTTCTGAATACTTAGTTATTTGTTTTACAGAGGAAAATGTATCTTTTTCTCCCACAGAAAGAAGTTACTACCCAGTAACCACCCAGGGAAGAAAAGACACTTTCCTCCAGTGTAATACAAATAATTTTTCCTACGACCCAGGAAAGAAAAAATTAATATCCCAGTTTCGCCTTTAAATCTAATAGCATGTTTTTAAAATTTTTACCTCCCGAAAAGATAATTGACTACGTGCTTTCCTTTTTAAAATTAGGGTGGAAAAACTTACTTTCTTTTGAGATCGTAGGAAAAATTATTTCAGCTTTTGTAAAGCATAAAAATTTCAATGCTACATGTCGATTCAAATGACGAAAATGTATCATAAAAAGAAAATTATTGTTTAAACTAACATGTTGCAACATTTTTGAAATAATTTTGCCCGTTTATCTAATATAGGTACAACGAACAATTTAAATTATATTTTTATTTATAATTTGCTTGTGAATCAAACAAAATTTCATGTCACTTTCAGAACTTTTTGTAGTGGAAACTCCTTGATCAGCACAAGATTTCTAGATTTGGCTAATAAAATATTCAAGTCTTTTCTTTAAGTCGGTTGTGTCTCCTCATTTGTTTCCATCAAAAACACAAACACGACATGCTCAAATGACACAGCTTTATAAAAATTATTTTCGAGATGAAAATGAAATAAGAAATTTGAATTTTTTAATATTCAGGTAACCAGCAATAGAGCATTGATGACCCAACAGTTGAAAAATCCCCTTAATGTATTCCACATCCCATTCGTTTAATTCCTTTCCATAAAAACTGATAAAGTCCTCAAATTCATTCGACACTTTTTATAAATAATTCATAAAGAACATTTCTGCGTTCGGTTGAAGCTTCTGTTTCATATATTTGGTAAGTGAAAGACCTTGCGGTGTTGGTGTTTTATGAAAAACAGGTTGGCGGAACTAAATCTAATTTATATGGTTTCGTGGTTTTCGAATAGTTTATACGGAGCGGCAGGAATATACGATACAAGACGTTATTGTTTCACCTGACATATATTGTTTGGTGTTATTTTAGAATAATTGTTTATGGATTTTGAGAATTTCAATTGTGGAATTGTACCACCTGCGTGTAAACTACAAGTTTTATTGTTTTCGTATTGAGTACCTATACAAAGTTAAAACGTTACTATGTAGCAGTGACAAAAAGCGGCACAAAACAAATCGGTCCAAATTTAATAAATAAATAATAATTTTCCCCTACTTTCAGGTCGTGAAGACGAAAGTGACACCGAATCCGAACCGGGAATTCCTCTAAAACGAAAACAACGCCGATCAAGAACCACATTTTCCGGAGAACAGCTCGAAGCTCTCGAACGAGCTTTCAGTCGAACTCAATATCCTGATGTGTACACGCGCGAAGAATTAGCTCAACAGACCGGATTAACCGAAGCCCGGATTCAAGTATAACGCCATCCTGGAAAACAATATTCCCTCAATTATTTTTCTGCAGGTTTGGTTTTCCAACCGAAGGGCTCGTTTACGTAAGCACGTGGGAAACGGAAACGCCACAGCTTTGGGTTTCCCTTCACTCCCGCTGGCTAATATGGCATGTCAATATCAACCAGAAAGTGCACAACACGATTGGAGAAACGCCCAATTCTCCAACTACAACATGTTTCAGCAATCCTCGTACAATGCAAATCACCAGGAAAATTATTCGGCGATTTTTGACGCAAATTATGCCCTCGCTCAAGCACAAATGGCACAAGCGAGTAAAAGTAAAGAGAATGACACCAAGAATGGAATTTTGGGAGCAAATCCCGGAACTTCATGGGGGAAAAACGGGGAGTGGGTGAACTTTCAGGATAACGCTCCGGCGAGTTTCAGCGGTGATGTTTTCGGCCAAACTCAGTATGCGGCCAAGAATTATTGGGCGTAATTTTAGGATAATTATTGTAATGGATTCAAATAACATTAAAATATTGTCAGTAAATTTTATTTCACATTTATTTTTAACACTAGATAAGACAGAAGCCGTTGTAAAATCCGGCTGTTATATTGTCTACAATTACATTTATTGTCATTACATATTTTTAAGGAGGATTCTATTGTCATACACAGCAAATATTGTCTTAGTCCAGCCCCGAATGAAATTTTATGCAACATTCAATACTAAAAATTATCATTTGGCCTTCACTATTCTAAATTTCTATAATATGCTTAAAATGACATTCTTGATAGTGACTTATTAAAAATATTAATTTCGAAATTTAATCTGATATATCGGAGATATGCTAAAATTATCAGGATATGTGATGAAAATCGCGACTGAACTTTCAATTTAAAAAATCAAACTAAGACAAATCAGAATTAATCGCTGAATGTGTCCTCGGGTGCATAAATATCTTCCTTAACAATATTTGATCGACAGCAGGTTGCAATAAAAATCTCTTATCGTCTAATGAAAACGAGTTTTCGGCGACGGAGTCGTCTTCGGCTTCCCCATCTGGGGTAGTCTCCCTGAAAAACAACCCTTCGTTTAGCGACACCAATCTAAAAGAGAATTACACCACGAAACATTTCCGGAATGCGTGATAGTTACGACAAACATTCAAACTAAGTTATATAGTCCTAACCCGAGGAATTATCCTTTTATTAAACTCCTCGAGTTCGCACTCGTCTACATCTATATGAACTAAAACATCCAACTAAGTCAAGAGGGTGTTGACTTAAAAAAGAAACAATTCAACACCCCCTGTCAACAAAAACATCCTCTTTTCCAACCTGCAACCCTCCAAACTCGTGGATCTACCAGACCGGTTGAATCTTCTGACGTTTCTTAGCGTCGGCAACCAACCAAGACGTGCCAAAGCGCCTATGTGACGTTTTTCAGGCGATCGGTAGCGTGAGTTTGGTCGAAACCAGCCACTTCTAGCCACCGAGCCTACATTTAAAGTTATTTAAAAAAAAATACAATAAAAACGTTTTGCTCCGACAGCAAAATGCTTTCATTTCACGACTAATGACCAAAATCATGAAAAACTAATCTGATCAGAGAAGAATAAAAACCCTAACTTATTCTCAGTCCGATTCTCACATCACCCACGTCCTAAATACACACCCTCCGGAATCAATATTCCTTGAGCAATATTATTTTTTCTCCTCTAAACCCCAAACAAATTTTCTGGGATAATCCCCAAAATTAAATTTCACTCTTGGAAATTAATTTCTGCTAATACAAAAACTTTTTATAACTCACCTAGAAATCTCTTGTCGTTATTAGGATAAGCCATCGCCAAGGCTTTCATGAGCTCTTCATAGTCGTCGACGTTCTGATTTTGATATACCGGTAAGGAAAATTCACCATTCTCCCCTTCGTAATAAGTTGTTTGTCTTTTACTTCTAACAGCTCTCGTAAATTGGCCTGGATATTGAGCTTTAATCGAGGCGATATTTCTTTTTTCGCTATTAACTTGCGGATCGTCTTTCTCGTCGTTATTTTGTTCATTTAAATAATCATCTTGTCGTAAAAGTGCGGCAACGTTTCTTTTACCCACAAATCCACCATCTCGAGCTATCGACGCGATGTTTCTTTTACCGCTATATTGAGATTCGCCATTTCTCACCAAACTTCCCAAATATCGTTTACCGTAAGACGGAAAATTAAAATTACGTGCCAAACTTCCGATATTCCTCTTGTCATAAAGTTCATCTAACAATTCTTGAATGTCTCTTCTATTATGTAATTCGCCGTTTCGTGCCAACGATTCAATTCCTCGTTTGCTTTCGTTATTTTGAAACGTTGGTAATTGGTCGTTTTTGGCTAAAGTAGACAGACTTCTTTTATTGTTGGGATCTTCTTCGTCTGGATTGGGTAATGTACGAATATACCCAGCTCTAGCCAGTGCTTCGAGATTGCGCTTTCCGGGTAAATTACCCCATTGTGCTAACGAACTTATAGACCTTTTATAATTCATGTCGTCGTCCTCGACGACTCGATCGAGTGCCTGTTGAAGTCTACGCAACAAGTCTTTGCGTAACGCCAGGTTCTGCATCGATGGATATTCTTGTGGTTTTAGTAACGTCTTTAGAGTATTTTCTATTTCTATATCACATGATTCATCCGACTTTACCTAAAATTGAACAATTTTCAACTCCCAGATTTCAATACCTACTGCTTCAGTGACATTTTTATTCAATTTTCACAAAAACTAAAATAATTAAATAAAATGTGCGTGAGTTATTTCCACTGGCTATCTAATCTTGTCTACAATATTACGAGTAAATGCATCGGTTTAGATGTTTTAAAATTTAGAATAAACAGCTAGGCAACCAATTAAACGCAAGTCACAAAAGCGTAGCTTTCTCTTGATCTTTTGAATAAAAAGTCTCTTCACCCACGTATTTTGCTTTTTGAACTGTTTGAGACAAAAGAAGATTAATGATTTTATTACCCATAAAATTTAATAAATCTGAAAAAAAATCAAATGATCGCGTTTCATATTTCATTTCATGGAAGTAATTAATAGAATTATGTTAAGTACTGAATAGTAGAGCTCCATTTCAAATGAATGACTTAATTAAACCTCAACATTATCAAACCTGAAAGAGTGACCCGGAAGTGAATTATTCGTCGGAATTACTCGATCCAAATCCGGCTAATATCCAATTAGAGAAAACAAAGGTGGGTTCTCTCCTCACAATAATTAGGATTTTCAGTTTATCGGAGATTTCTTAAGAACGTTAATAAAGTGGTAATGATTCATTATTACAATCTTTTTCATTAAATTACTTTGTAAATGCTATTAATGTCAAAAAATGTAAATCTAATTTAAAATAAAAATAATGGTTCTAATTTTAACTCTCTTTTCGTTTTCCACCGTTCCGAAATTTCACCGATTACCGTAATTTTAATGGAATCTCGCTCCATACGAGATCAAATATACAATACAATTCTGATATTAATGTGTTTAGCGCTTTGCTGTTCCGTGTCGATATTCATTACAGAATAAGGTGCTTGTTTTATCTACTGTGTATTCAAGCTAACAAAAGCACAAAGCTTCAACTAAAAGTTAACAAATACTTAATTGACTTTAGTAAAGTTGTTGTGAATCAAAATAGTTGTCTTGAATGGTATTTGTTTTAATTGAAACATCGTTACAGCCGCTTTCCAGCTTACAGGTTTTTGTAAAAGAGAAGCTCTTCATTCAAGTGATATCTTACAATATTTACAAAAACCTTTAAATTTTTCTATGCAAATTTGCCATCGTATAGATTGGTATAGCGTGATTTTATGCCAGGACATGATTCAAACGTGAGGAATTGTATTATTTGTACGTGATTGTGAATCAAACAAGGCTTCCGTAAGCATCTCTTCAAACGAATTTTTAAAATCAAATCAGCGAAAGCACTTTTAACTTTTCCCGAGCAGAAATTAAGCCGATCATCGAAAGAGCTCATTCTCCTTATTGCATGTCTTTATTAGTTAGCCCAACGAGAAAATTAATGGAAATCGGAAAACCTCAACCCATTTTCTGCTCATTCAAGCAAGAGTTCGCTGAAATAACATTAATCTCGAAACACAAATTGATAAGATTTGTGGATTGAATCAATCTAATCCCATATCGCGCTTCACAAATCAAAGAAAAGATATTATCAGTTCTCGTCTTTGCGAGTGAAACACAGAAAAATTTCATTTCAAACACACCACCAATTTTTTGTCACTGAAGCTTTTCGAAAATTGAATTAATTTCACATTCACTTATCACTTGACACACAAATTTACTTACCACAAAAAATAAGGCAAACATCAATACACCGGTCCCAAATAAAAATTTCGGCGTACCGAAAACCATGATTTTAAAAAATGCGCCGTCTGTCGCAAACAATAATACACACTGTTGCTTCAGATGCAACACGTCCTCATCAACCGTCGACCGACGCTCACAAGTCGTCGTGACGCCGGACGTCTGTTTTATACAGTTAGGGAAAAACAGCGGGGGCGGTGGATACGCGCAGGATCCGGACTAGGGCACCAAGTGCCTTCCTATTATCCTGTCAAACTGCCTACTACCAATTTTGAATTATTAGTCCTTCGTGAAATTCTATGATAGTAAAGCGAGAAAATTCCAAGAAGCTTCAACCAACGCAAAAATGAGTTTTTGTGTTTGAAAGTGGTGACGAGAAAGTAAGATTTGCCCCTTGGCAACTACCAATTTGCAGGTAAAAGAACTTCTAGAAACACAATAAAACCCAACGTGAATAAGGGTAGGTATAGAAACGAGTTCTTTTACAACCCGGGTCAGAAAAACACCTTTCATCTCACTCCATTTCCTAAATTGGACAAGGAGCTGACGATCCTTCGTAACAGAAACACCATTCTCAAAAATTCTAATAGGATAACGGCTTTTGGGGGTTTGCTATTTGAATCTTACTAGAGTTCAGTCGTGGCAGATGCGTAGTCGGGTGGTTATAAAACTAGTGAAGATCATTTTAAAAAATAAATCAAAATTTGTAATACTAGACGATAAAATAATTGCGTCATAAATAACGTTACTTTTCGTAAAAATTTCCCTCGTGGCATCTCATATTCAAGATGACTTCAACGCCAAATGATTCTTTTAACACGAGCGACCAGTTAATGGATTTATCCCTGAAGAACTTTTGGGTTATCGTACACTATCCTTGTAGTGATCCGGAATGCGAATATGAAATTGTCGGGAAAAAAGATCTGGTTTTTGACTCTTGGGAAGTATTAGAAAGAGGCACTGTTGTCACAGTTAAATATGGTAATGCAAGAGTGCAAGGAATCGTAGTTACAGTCTCGGGTAAGCTCCATTTTAACTATTTCAACAAAAATTAATAACTATTTCAGACGATTATAATCTACTTTCGACAAATTTAGAGGATTATATTCAAGAATACAAAGAAATAAAGTTTGAAGAAGTAAGTTTGTTGAGACTTTTTCAGTTGTATCTAATAAAAATTTCAGTCGAGAAACTCCTTTCATGAAAAACGGGGAAACAGGCCAAACTTTCGTCATGTAATTAAAATCGCCGATAAAGAAACTCAAACGGACTTATTTGAAATTGAAAATATCGAATATACGACATTAAAACGACAATATGAAGAATTACAAAATAAATACAATGATTTAAAATTAGCAGTCACTGGTAAAATTTAATTAATCAAAGAAACAAATAATTAAAATTTCACTTTACAGAAGTAAAAACTGAACTAAAAAGTACAATTTTAAAACTCGATGTTATAACACCAGAACTTAAAGAAGAATCATTTAAAACACCCTTGCAACCATTAAGCGACAACGTTTCTTCATCTAATAACAAGGAAAACACCAAACAAATGGTCTGTTACATCAGTTAATTAAATATATTTCAGGAATAATGTATTTTTTTCAGGTGCAAATTGGTTCTGGTGGAACAAAAATACCTCGTCAAGTATACAATTCGATTAAGTGGGCTAGTTATTCAGCGGCGACGAGAAAATTACTAATTACACTTTTTCCACGTAGTATACTTGCAACGCATTCTTTAACTGGCAAACCGAGTCCTGCTTTTATATCGAGTAATAAGCAAACGAAAATGAGGTATGATGGAAATATAATGACCCTAATTTTTTGTTACTACAAAATTGTAGATTGAATCCGACAATTATTTCCGATATCATCGAAATTGTCACGAAGAAATGTCTTGTTTCGGAGCCATTAGTTAGAAATGCGATTACAACTAAATGTGCCGACGAAAATAAAATGTACAAAAAGCGGTTAGAAAGACAGCAGAGTGATGAGCAAGAAAATGACCATAAAAAAGTTAAACTAGAAAAGTGATGTTTAATTTAAATTTAGCGCCAAGTGTACAGTTTTCTACACTTATTAATGCTGGTTGTAAAGACTAAGGATAGGTGGCACAGCAAGGACAATTTCTTAAAATAAAAGTTAATTGAAAATATATTCTTTTGTATGTACTTTGTTGTTGTTAATATAAAATCAGTTCAATAAGTTAATTTGTATTTTTTACATATTAGTAGTAGAAATTTGAGAGATTGCTGAAAACAAGGTGAATTGATTATGTTTGCAAATTCATTGACGTCACAACTGCCCTAGAATCTTTGTGCGATTTAAAATACCTCAAAGTTTCAAATATTAATCAATTAGGACTCGATAAGTTAGTAATTAACAACCAAAACTGTTTAATTAGCATGAGTTGACGTCATTTATATCCCCCATTAGAATTTTTTAACGCTTTTGTTTGCTTCTTTAATTAGAAGCTAGTTAAAGTGTTTATTTGCTAAATACAGCACCCAACTGACATCTTCATTTATCAGAGTAAAAAATGTTATTTATTTTTAATATTTTGCGTATGCTTCCACCTATCTTCACTATTTAAATAAAAATAATCAACACAAGTAACAATAACTTATAATAATTATCCAAAAACAAAATTCCTTAAAACAATTTGTTATTTAAACCCCCTTAATTTAGTTAGTTTTACGTAAATAAATTTAACGTTAATTAAACTTTCGATTAATTAACCAAATAAATCAGAGAAATGCGCACGTTTATTGTTAAACGTCTAATAAAAACAGCATTTGCTGATTCAAACTTCAAACGTGAAAGTCACAGTGAAGGTTCTTGCAAGGTTTAAATATTTTATGCTGTTGCTAACTCGCCAATCTTCCAAGTTCTAAATCGGCTTTTATTATTTTATTAGAAAACCATCTCTAAGTAAAAATTAATTACGCAAAAAGTAGACAACATTTCAAAATATTAATAACGTTTAATGGAGTAGGTAGGAGTAGTAGTTTTTTTTGTAAAACATCCTTCTCACTCGAAATATACAAAAGACAAGAGTTTTGTCTGTGTAGTGATAAAAATAGCCTTTTAATCGATGGACAGAAAGATAAACCTGCAAAATAATACAATAGAAATCATTATTTTATGAGAGCATTTTTTTTCAATAAAATTTGCATGCGCCAATTGGCGTGGTCTAGAAATGAAAAGCCAAAATTTCTAAAACCAAGACATGGTGGTGGTGTGTCCACGTAGTGGTCTATATGTATTTATTTGAGCATTTTGAGGTGCATAAAAATAAAGAATTTTGGGCTTTTTTCGAATGTTCCAGATCCTTTTATTGACCGTTTTAAGTTTTTCAATAATTTTTGCATGCGCCAGTTGGTCTGGTCAAGAAATGAAAATCTATTTTGTCCAAAACAAGCGAATTTGGAAGATTTTTTTGGGTAATTTTAAGGTAATTATGCTTGATTTTGGGTGATTTTGAACAATTTTTTATGTGCTCAATTTTCGGTGGTCTATAGATATTTGGGTACTTTTAAGGTGCATAAAAAATAGTGCTTTTTGAAGGATTTTAGATCCTTTTCAGTTGTTACCTCAGAAAAACAGGTAATTTTTTATGTTTCTGCCTCGTTTTTTAAGATGCCAAATATCCTGGTCCAAAAGTAACATTTTATATACGGGTATGTAGATGAAAGATAATTCAAATTACTTATAGTATGTACATTATGGAAGATCTACAAGATCTAATTACTTTGTACAACAACATAACTTGACTATCAACATAACCATATGTGTACCTATTGAATGAGTTAATATGTATCTCTTGTTTCAACCGCATCCATTAATCAGGCTGTTAATTAGACGCAGGTTTATGTTTGTTATACCTAATTTATTTCATTTTTCATAAGCAACATACTTTGCAATTTGTATAAATGTAAACACATTAATAAAAAATGTGTGAACAAAAAAATTACAAAAATTAATAAACCACACAGTAGAGTTTATTTTTTAAGATCATGACCATTTTATGTTTTCGTGCAAAAGATATAAATCTTATCAAAAAAGTAAAGTTACGAACCTATAAAAAATAAACTACTCAAACCCTAACAATGAATGAAATTTATTAGATATACTTACCTGCAAATAACAAATATTTTGCTTTCTTATTTAAAGAGTTAGGTTCCTGTTAATTAGTTTTATAATACGTATGCAACATAAATCGTAAATTTTGTAAAAATATGTGTTATTTATTATTAGAATATCTGGAAATTTTCGAAAGAAAATATATTAACATTTAAATGATGTTCTCTTACGTAAACAGTCCGACAGAAACTGTTATTTTTGGCAATCTAACGATATCAAAGTTCGATTTAGGTATAGATAAAAAAAAAAACTCTAATTAAATTTCGTAGTTTGAACAAAACGAATTTATTTTTTTATTCAGCTCCATTCTCGAAAAACCATCAAGGGAAATCAAAAAGTCACATTATTTAAACAAACAAGGAAGTGTGATTTGAATATAGAATAATAAATAATTCAATTAACATAAACTAATTGTGTATGTACTATTAATGACCATGGGAGATAACCATGAATACGTCTTATGGTACCGTTTGCAATTTTCACCACTTTCAAGGTACTACAAACACTAGCCTAAAAATAATAAACGAAAAGAATCCTTTGTTGTGTAATAATTTTTTGTCTAATTAAATAGTGCATTAAATTCATTTCTACGATTGATTCGAAGCAAATGTGGCCAAAAGCCAAAGGAACTTTCTCCTGGTCATTTTTGTTAATGCTATTCTTGGTACGTGCTAAATAAAACGGACCATAAAATTTGTTGACTATTACGATTCGAGTATCAATAATGTGAAATTATAACTGCATATATTAAAACCAGTAATTTTCCCAACTGTGGAAATGAATCAATAAAGAACAGAGTTGTCAGAGCAGTGACATAACAAATTAATGCTGGACATGATGAAAGCTTTCGATTAGAACCTACGTTCGTCTCGAAAGATCAAACACAACTCTAATTTGAAACCTCTGATTAGATTTTAAGCTGGCTGATTAATTAGTACGCTTAGATTTAAAACTATGCAAGTCCTATTTTTAATGAAGCGCCTGTTAGATAATGTTAGGTGCGGTTTAGATTTTTGAACTTTTTGTATTTTTGCCAAAAATCTAGCTTTATTCTTACGTTATACACTGTATTTTTTCAAGTCTCAAACTTACACAAATATTTGTTTATCAGTTAATGCAGCCTACAAACCATTACCAGATAGGTAAATAAGCAATAACACGTGGATAACAAATGTTTTTCCTTCAAAAATAACAAACGTAAACAATGTAGGTACCTACTTTCTAAGCCAATTGAAAATCAAGGTAGTATTTAATGATTATTTAGCTTGGGATAAAACGTGGGCCCATCAATCCCTTTATCGATTAGCAAACGTTTCCATAATTAAAATCCACGCAATAAAGCTTCTCGATTTATAGTGGTATTCGACATTTTTACAACGCGAAAATGCGAAAACAAAACAAACCGAAAATTATCACAAATTCCTTCAGTAATTTTCCTTTAAAAATGTCAGCTCCAATTCAACATCAAAACAAATTGCTATTGGAGTTTGTACCCAAAAAATGACGCAAAATTCTACACAGCGTCTAGCTGTCTACAACACATTTCGACCCATACCATCACGTTTCCAAGGTCCCACGTGGTACGGTGCGTGGCGTCCACATTTTCCGCGACTAAATCAAGACGGCGTTAGCTGCGTGACAGTTTAGTTTTTTGCGTGACGCCGTTGCGTTGCTACACCAAAACGCCCGACTTGGCAAAAGTATAAAAGTTGAACAATTGTCAAATACAAAAACATTTGGTTTGTTATTGTTGGTAAGTCGATTGTCATTCTAACTTTCTCTTCCAACTCTCTTTTTACTTTCTCCACATGTCCTTGTTATATTTTTTCGCTAGATTTATTATTTTAAATGTAACAATTCTGTTTATTTTAAATTTGAATCATCCGAGATTATAATCGATGTTACTATGATTGAAACGTGAAACGATCGTTTCATTATAGGTAATATTATCGACACAATTTCTTTATCGTATGAGTAATTTTGCAATTCCTTGACATTTTATTATTGCAAGCCTTGACGGCGTTAATGTTAGTCAATAAATGCTTAAGGCCTTTATGGACTATAATTTATTTCTCTGAAAGTCTGCAACAAAAAGTTAGCACAGGCTTGTTTTGACACAGATTTTAACAATAATTGTGTAAATAATAAATATGTAAAAGACAAATGCAAACATTTGTTTACTGTTTACTATTATGAGTAGGTCTTTACGTGGATTTTGCCGTAATTACATTAGCTTATCGATTTTATCAGATTTAGTGGTATTAAGCTCCCTTTTATCGGAATTTCCGAAAATTGCATACATACGTAAGAATAAAGAAGAAAATAATAAATCACTTAACTTGAATTTACTTTAATTTGGTTAAATCAACATTATAAAGTCAATATTGACATAGTATACACCCGCTTTGACGACTATTTATTAAGTGATAATATTTTGTAGGTAAACAAAACTAAATATGTATTGTTGATAATTTAAAAAGAAAATAAATAAACTATATCATAAAATAATGCCAAGTTAAATTTCCCGTTTTCCAGAAATCGTCAAGATCAAAGGTCATTTACACGCGCATTTCAAAGAAAATTGTTTTTCAAAATTGTACTCCCTTTTGTCACTTATGATTTTATGAATATCTAAGGTAGTGAAAATTGAAACACTACCGCCTTTCTTTAACCGGTTTCTGCTAGAATTTACCGAAACCATCCGGCAATGTGAAATTGCCATTCGGTTTGCCGATAAATCAACCAGGAAAAGGACAATTTTCACTAATTAAACCGGTCTGTTCTAGTTTTCTTTCCCCAGCCATGTAAATTTGCAAAGTATACGTAATGAGATTAATCATGAGCGAATTAAGCCAATGATCAACATGAACTTTGTACAAAGATCATTAATTTGAAAGAGAGGTAAGAAAGCTTATTCACATAATTTTGTTTGAATAAATTGTTTTGACACGTGTTAACTGAATGAATAGTAATTGCAAGCCTTCAGTGGAGAGAAATTCTAATTCGAACGGATAAACAAATCAATAAAAATCAATTAAGCCGATCGAATTTTTAATTCAGTTTAAATTTTTATTTCGTCGAATGGTCAATCACATGAAAGAAATTAATCTTTGCTCATTTCCTCTTTAATTATTTTTGTATTTATCAATCAATTTTGACATTTTTCGTGTTGCAATACGATTAAATTTATTCTATTAATAATATATCAACTTCCTCGATTACTATCTACGAAAAAATTTCGTCATTTAGGGATAACAGTAACCTACTAAATCAGTTAAGACAAGGACTTGTAGAGGTCGCTTAACAATAACAAGTTATCCTTTTTATTACGTAATCATGGGTGTATTCAAAAATCTTGTTTTAAAAACCGTAATTCTCAATCAAGGATAACGCGAAAATTTAAGTCTGGATTATCTAACTGCAACTGTAATAAATCTGTGAATTTTGACACGATGTTTATGAAAGCACTCAAAATAATTTCGGGAACCATCCCATAAAACATTCATGTAGTTTAAGTTTGTAACGCATCAGAAACGGAACAGTTTCGAAATCGTTGTCTATAATGTCGAAACAAGACAATCACTTTCAAAAAGAGTAAGTTTTTCTATAACAAATATTTACAAAAGTGGTTTGAGTCTCATCACCAGACTTTTGCTCTTAATTTGCACTTGAGGTTTTTTCCGTCTGTGTTACAATCATAGCCGTGCCGTCTGATCGTTTTTGATCATTATCAAGCATCAAACAATTGATTCTTCAAAATCTATTTATATCATTACTATCACACAAGTTTTTTTATAACAATGATATTTACCTGATCTTAAATAGATGATAATGATATCGAAATCATGGCACATATTTAACCCACCAGCGACGAGACATTGAGGTCAGTTAGTTCTGTGCAGTTTTCGAAGATAGAAGAATCCGATTTTGCACCAGACGAGATGAAGTGGGACATGTAATTATTTTTTTACTACTACTCATACATATCAACAATTACGTTTAGAAATTTGTTTAATAGGTTCATTGACACTGTGTTTTAACTATTTACTTGCAAAATTATTACCAAGAATTCCAAATTACAAGTATTTGCGATCTTTTTAACACTTTAGTTATTTATGGCAAAGGCTCTTAAAACCGAATCAAGGTTACTTGTCAATTATAACTCGTGCAAAATCTTATTTCACAAAATGTTTAAACATCAGGGTTCAAAAACCGCAATTACGGTTTTGTGAAGTTATGATTAATTATACAAATCGGTCGTTAAACATACACTGATAAAAAAATTCATTAATTTTAACTTAATTGGAAAACTAATTATTATAAAAAAATATTTGCATCCGTTGCTCGGCTGTTCAAAGGTTAAATTTAAATTTGCCACAATCTAAACAATAAAATTATTTGCACGTTACTGTTTTGGGATTTCCTTTTATTTGTCTCCCATGTTTCACAAGAATTTGTATTTGTTTTTGTTTTTACATTTTTCTTAATTTATTTATAAAATTTTATCTCCAAAAAATTGCGAAATCTTGTCAACAGTTTTTAAAACTAGGCCATAAAATTTGCAAGTCATAAAAGTATCACAAGATTTATGTAAATTTTGCGAATTGGCAACGTCTCGCTCTGTTTCATTTGACTCTCATAGAGTTACACACACTATTTTTACTGAAACTATTAGAATATCACACGATTTTATTTAAAAACTCTATTTATATGAAAATTCGAAAGGTCACGTTCACACTTGATTTTAAATTCGACAGGTGAATTGAAACAGGAAAAACTATATCATGGTTTTAAAATAAAATTCACTCTTTAGTACTTTGTACCTATTTTCGATCAAATGGTACTTGAGAGTAACGAAAATAGCGTGAAACAATCATGATTGATTTTATCATTTTGGTTATAATAGAGACACTTTTTTCAAGATTGGAGACTATTTTTTTATCTAAGTCGTTAATGCATTTGTTTGTTCGGCAAATATTTTCCTCTAGAATTATGGCTGCGGTTTCAATTGGCGATAATTATATCACATCATTTAAATTTACTTGTGTCCACAATGACTGTTGATAGAAGCATTTTAATTCGACCTAAAAATCATTCCACTTGTCATTAAAATTCCAATTAACATTTAGTTGTAATTTACGAAATTTCGTAAAGATCTAATTTTATCCCTAACTACTAAAGTCCACATGAATCGGAGAACTGCCATTAAAAATAGACCACATAAATAATTATGTCAACAAAGCTTCGACCAGATTTATATAAACGCCGGTAAAAATGTTTGCGCTTAGTTTCAGTTGAGACTTTGCCACGAACTGGTGGCAAAATGGTTAAGTTAATGTCAGTCCAACCAATTTTTGTTCTAAATTAAAACTAAGTGATCGTTTTTTTTACAGAATGAAAATGCCAACCAAACCGAAAACCGCTCATAAAGAACCAATCGATTTAGAAGTGGGAACTGTTTCTGAAGAAATAGAAGTCCCGGTGGCTTCAGAAGTTGTCTTTAGAAAAATATGGAAGATCAAAAGGTTCCACAAGACGATAGCAAAAAGGGATTTGGTTGATAGTCCGGTATTCAGATGCTCAGTCAATGGAATGGCCACATTTTGGAATATCTCGGTCAGATTTTGGAAAGGTGAATAGCAGCAACAAGTGTTTGATTTTTTGCCAATTTACACGATTTTTCAAAGTTCAAAGACACAAAATGATCGAGTTTCGAGAAATTGGCTATTAATAAATTTTATGTCAAGTCTATTATTATCAATTTTTTGTTTTTAGGTCCCAATGGTAAAAAAGTCACCAATCCATTGGTGGTTTGTCTAAACCTGACAGGTTGCGAAACGGAAGAGACAGGCCAGGCCCGTGTCCGTTTCCAATTTGGAGTATGGGACGCTAGTATCAAACATTGGGAATGCTGTCCCATTTCCAGTGTGGTGCTAAACCTCCAAAACAGCAAAGATTTGCTTTCTGTAGGCTACAAAAGCCTCGGAATTCTTGACAGACATTTAGATAGTTGTAAGTTTGTTCGACTTGTCTCAAAACATCTTTACAATTTAGTAAAATTGCAGCCAAAGACGTCAGTATTATGCTTAAACTTCAAATAATCCAAAGCGATGAAGAGGTCCACAGTTTATCCCAAGACATGGCTAGATTATTAGTAAAATCCGAGGACAAAGACACCATCATCGAATGTGCTTCTAAAGAGGACGAATCTCCTCTTACAGTCCATAGTTGGATAATTAGGGCACGTAGTAGTAAATTAGCGATGAAATTGCAAAAATCCGAAGACGAGAAAACGCCAAATATCAAATACAAACTTGATTTGTCCGATTTCCAACATAGTTTAGTAACGGAACTTGTCAGATATATTTACACGGACAAAGTTGATAACGCTGATACACACGCGAACAAACTTTTGCCATTGTCAACAAGATATCAACTACCGGGGTTAACAGCATTGTGTGAAAGAACCTTACTCGAGAGTCTCACGCCGAGTAACGTTGCTAATATACTCCTGTTGGCCGATCAGTGCCGTTGCGAAAATTTAAGAAAAGCTGCTTTGCATTATTGTGAAAATTCCGAAGAAATTAAAGAAAGCGTTCATATAGGTATGGTACAGTAAACTCAATTAATGATTGTTTTTATATTTTGTATTGGTTTAGGTAAAACTTTGGCGTGGAGAGTCATGGAAATGGTCAATCCAGACCTCTTCCTCGAAGCTTGTGAAAGTTTCGGGAGTTCGTCGAGTAATTTAGACAGTCCTGGAACTCCGGGTTCGTGGAGTGATTAAACCGCTTTCAGTTAATTTATTTATTGCTCATTAAGTACAAATTGGAATTTATCTGAAGAGATCTGTGTTATTTATTATGTGTCGCCGTAATGTGTAAAACGATGTGATGTTAATATTTGTATTACAATTTTTAATTTGTATTACAAAATAATTAGAAGTACTATTTTGTATAATTTTTATATTGCTTTATTATGTTAAGTTGTTATATTAACAATCTTATACGTGATATGTAATAAGGCTTTGTTCAAAGTATACCTGCATTGTATTGTATTAGTAGAGTATAAAATGGCATAAAACCTCTCAAAAAACATTAATTGTTATGGACTCCAAAAGTATTCAAATATGTGTAGACCGCCAAAAATTGGGCACACGAAAAAACCGTTAAAATCTCCCAAAATAATGAAAAATTACCTCAAGAACCCCCTAAAAACTAACAAAAAACCTAGTTTTTACACACCCCAAAATGGCTTTTTACTTCTGGACCAGAACATTTGGCGTCTTAAAAATCAAGGTTGAATCCCACAAATTTAGCTGTTTTCCCAAAAGTCAACAAGCGAAAAACCCATCAAAAAGCATTAATTTTTATTCACTCTAAAAGTACTCAAATATCTGTAGACCACCAAAAATTGGGCACATGAAAAAACAGGGTAGAATCCTACAAATTTGCTGTTTTCCTAAAAGCAAACATCCGAAAAGATCTTAAAAAATTTACAAAATGCTTTTTTTAAGCACCCCAAAATGGCTTTTTATTTCTGGACCAGGGTATTTGGCGTCTTCAAAAAACAAGGCAGAACCCTAAAAATTTAGCTGTTCTCCCAAAAAAAAAAACAACTGAAAAAGGCCTAAAACCATTTAAAAAGCATTAAACTTTTTTGCAAAAATACTTCAAGAACGTCCTAAAAAACTAACAAAACACCTTGTTTTTAATCATTCCAAAATGGCTTTTGATTTCTGGAGCAAGTCATTTGGCGCATGCAAAAAAAGGAAAAACAACACCAAATTAAAGAGGTTTATTTGGCGCCTTACAAGACAGAATCCTAAAAATTTATGTTTTCCCAAAAGTAAACAATCGAAACAGACCTAAAATCATCAATTTTTATGCGCCCCAAAAATACAAAAAAATTATAGACCACCAGAAATTGGGCACACGAAAAAACCTTTGAAAATTATCCAAAATCAAACATAATTACATTAAAAGCATTCTAAAAACGTTACAGCATTCCTTGTTTTTAGACACCCCAAAATGACTTTATTTCTGGACCAAGCCAATTGGCACATGCAAAAAATTCACCGGTCGGAATGGCGGCCAGTAATAATATTAAACAATTAATAGTATATTATAATACAAGTTTATAAGCAAGCCTTTAAAACACGCACGACAGGTTTAACGTCGTAACAGATGTTAAGAGATTTTATCAAATTTTATTAGATGACAAACTTGGTAATATAGTCAGAAATACGGTTTAGTATCTTTAATTTCTTGTTTAACAATATTTTTTATTCTAATTTTAAACCTATACTGGTTATTGTTTTTTTTTTATTTTACCAGTTATTATCCTGATCCATCAATGAAAAGACATTTTGAGGTATCTATCTAAATTATGAATAACCCTGTATAATTATGTAATGTTATAAACATTTTTTTAAATAAAGAAATGATTTTAATTTATTAAAAAACAAGAATTCTGACAGGTACTGTAGTCAAGTCTGTCAACGATTTCATAATTAACTTAAATAAAAATATTGCATTACGTACCTTGACTTTTGCTGAATTTTTATTTGTTTCATACAGCTTACACCTTTTAAAGTCGTTTTCCTGTGTAATTTTGTCTGTTGTCAAGCTTCTTTCAAAAATGAATAWWA